CATTTCTAGTGCAATATCTGACTTCAGTAGAAGAAGAGTACTCCCCTTCATAATGCTTCCTTCTTCAAGTCTTTTGCTAGTGAAGTTTGGGAAAGCTAGTAGAGAACTGCAACCAGAGAGAGAGTTCTAGTGAGTCCAGACTCTTTCTTTCGTTCATCAAAGCGAAGCATGGCTGCAATCCCAAACTCATCCTTTTTTCTTCTTATCATTCGCAATGCTACTATGGTTTTGATGTCTTCTTGTGTCGCTATCTGAGGTTTGAGATCAAGTGGACTAGCCATTGCTTCTCCACGAGGCTCATACCAGGCGCTACGGCGCTGAAGTATGTAACCCATGCCATACTCCCAGGAAAAGCTCGAACGACCTTCAACAAAGGCATATCGAAAGAAGAATTCGAAGGAAATGAAGCATAAGCTGTCACCACTAGGATAAATCAAATTGAATCCTAGGCTGTTTCGATAGACAAAAGAAAATAGAAAAAAGTAGTGAGTGAGAAAGAAATAAGTAGCGGCGCTTTGCTTGCTTGGAAACGAAGTAGCAGATTTTTGAGTAGTCTTTTCTTGGCTGGTAACTATTCAAACAGAGCTAGCCCTCTTTCTTGATACCTATGTACTGACCACATATAGTACTGTTTCGTGAAAAACCAATAGGCATTCTACACAGAGAACAATTCAAAGCTGACTACCATATACTACTGTCCCTGCTTTCCAAGTAAGTACTAATTTCGAATGCGAGGTTGCGTAGCAAAGCTACAAGCCGAAATTCAAGAATGAACTGAGTTATTTTTCCATTTTAAAGAGTGGCATTCGATGTCCAATATCTCGATCGAAGTATGGAGGTCAGAATAAATAGAATAATGATGAATGGAAAAAAGAGAAAATCCTTTAGCTGGATAAGGGGCGGATGTAGCCAAGTGGATCAAGGCAGTGGATTGTGAATCCACCATGCGCGGGTTCAATTCCCGTCATTCGCCCATCGCATTATTGAACTAATTGTGCCACAGTCGAGCATTTTTGTCCAATCGCAACATAGACACAATACAATGTCTCACTCTCATTTGTGCCCCTTGAGTTCATTTGCTTTTGGTTTAATATAGTATCGATAGCTATTGCTGTTTTTCCAGTTTATCTGTCCCCGATTATAAGTTTTCATTGACCACGGCCTATAGGAACCAGACTAAAGCATGTTATCTCTCATTTTTCGTCGGTAAGATACTTGTACATAACAGACTAGCAGTACCATAAGCAGCAGGCTTTTGGACTGAGCTACAAGTCACAGTATTTTGAGTAAAATAGGGTAATACCCCATACCAGCATGAAGCCATTTACACAAAGCCCATAATTTGGTATCATGCCGGTACCAGAGTCATACATAAAGGTCCGTCTTCTCCTTCTGCTCGAAAGAGTCTAATGCTACATCCTTTCACTCATGTAGATTGTCCAGCATTTCATTTGACAAAACTCCTTCTGATCTGAGGACGACGAAGTTTATGAAGCTGCCAAGCAAGATATTGATGGAATCTCGACAACGGGTTCTTATGTATGATGTGTCCATTAGGTCTCAAATTATCAACACGGAGTGTACACAGAGTTATGGAACAAGAAATGATTCTTTCTTATTTTGAAACAGAATTCAAAATAAAGGAGGATTTAATTCGGTTGCTTTATGAAAGCCGACGCCGTGCCGTCTGGCGAAAACGCCGCAGGCGCGAAGCGTGGTGGGCCTGCGCCGGGGGAGCATAGGGAGGAAAGGGAGCCAGTAAAAAAATGAGTTCCTTGAAAAATCAAGGGGACAAGGAGCCTACCAAGTACGGCAACAAAAGAAAGAAATCGGCACAGTTGCGATGCGCTCACTCAAGCTTAGGCACCGAAGATGCATTCCATTTCCTTTCAAGTAACGAGAGGGCTATCAGTTAAAAATTAAAAAGAGAGGAAACTTGCTTAGCAAGCGTACGAGACCAAATCTTGTTTTGCTTATGGGCTGTAGCTACCGGGTCCGAAGGAGGCTGATCGTGAATCAATTCCATCTGTTAGGGCGGGCAAGTTGCGGTGAAAGAGAGTCCATCTTTATCATAAAGTTTTGTGAAGAAAGTATGGCTGCCGAAAGCTCTGGGGGAGGCTCGCTCCTCCTACATCGAACTCTTCTTTTCTTTATTCAACAAATGCAAGTTCGTCTTCGTCTGATGGGATGAGAAGTAGTAGGATTGGTTCTCATAATTAAAAAAAGGAATTTATCGAAATTTTTCTTTTATTCTTGTTGAATAATGCCAAATCAACACCAAAAAAATATCCAAAAATCCAACAAAAGTCAAAAGTAAATGAATTAGTTAATTCAATAAGAGAGAAAAGGGGACCAGCACTTGATTCCGTTGCCCAAACGAATCCCATTCAATCTTTTACTCATCCCATGAGTCCGTCGGAAAGTTCAATCAATCTTTTTTTCATATCCATTTCGCCTTTTGTGAAGGATCCCTCCCCCCATTCTATGCTGACCCGGGCCGGGGCTCTTTTTTTGGGAAGCCCGTTCCCACCGCGCTCACGGCCCGGCTGGCCTGCCAGCGGTAGTGGGAATTCTCCCGTTCCCTGGTCAAAAAAGGGTTGAGTCGTTAGAGCACATATCTCCGTGATCCCTTCCACAGCTAAACGTAGATCTCTATCTTGTAGAGGAGTGTAGAGTAAAGATATACCGGAGTGGAGTGCAAGAAGGTTATAGGGGAGTGTGGCGCCCGCTTGCCCGCCTTTCTTCTCGGTTGAAAAACAAAACTGTTGCTTGCTTTGTTCATTCAAGTAGTGGTTTAGCCCTCGAATCTGGGATTGAAGGATTTGCTAATGCCCGACCCTTCTCGACTAGAAACTCTTCCGCTCCTCCGGACCTTTGGAAAACCAAGAAGTAGACTGCAGTGTCCCGCTCGAGTACGATGTCTGTTTAAATTCTTTCTTTGATTTGCAAAAGTAGTAAGTCTACTCTTCTTCCACCTCTCCTCAGATGTCTACAACAGGAATTGACAGACCGCACTCAGAGACCATTTGGAAAGAATAGCAGCACTCTCCAAACTCTATAGGTTGCATTAGCTATACGAGCGAATTGGTTGTTTCGAGCACGTAGCAATGCGAGATAGAAGATTATAGCGAAAGAGTTAGCTCAACCTATCTACTACTACCCTTGGAAAGGGGGTGTGCGTGGTATACCTGTTACGACTCCCCTCGAACTGAGCCATTTTCATGATTTTGCAATCAAAGAAAGTTCCATACTTTTTTATTCCCAGTATGGAGCCAACGTCGCTTCGCTTTCGCAGGACAATTTCCTTCTGGAAAAATATCCAGTGGCATATCCCATCTAGCTCTGGGAATCAAACCACAACCAGCGCCTTCTTGTCCGATGAAGTTCAAGTCTCTAACATGTTCTTCGCTTATCCATTTAGCCCGCCCGCCCAGACGCGGCGCCCTTTCGCATTATCATCTACCGCCCTTTCTTTCCTCCCGTCCCTTCACACATGAAGATCGTCGTATGTATGTTCAACTTCGGTTGCCGGTGCAATAGAATTGGCGGGAGTATATTATGGCAGGATCAGTCACCTGGGCAAACCAACCCTCCTCCAAGAAGAATTGTGCTTTAGAGTACTACGATCTGGATAATCCTCCTAAATTTAGATCTATGCTGCTCCATGCGGGGGAAGTCGATGAACGAGTAGAATCATCCCCTAGCGTAAACATGAGAGGAACCGAACCCTATAGTTGTACTGAATTCCGGTTGTCCGCTTTCCATTTCGACCACTCGCTCCTATGTATGAAGAATGGCTCTTCCTTGTCTTCACCTTTTAAAATCGACAGCCTTCGGGCTGATCCACACAAGGATACTCACACATTCAAACATCTTGTAGAATAGATTCCTGTTCGTCGTATATCGACACTTCAGAACATCTTGTAGAATCCCCTTAGCTTCTTTCTATATGATAATTTATAGACACTATAGCAATATGGATATCTGCAATGGAAGGAAAGCATTTAACTACCTCACATCTGGTAAGTGTAGCAAGTCCAAATCCCTCATCTCATACGTTTCCCTCCACCTCCTCCGCAGGCCTCATAAGCCTCGTGGCCAGTAGGCAATCTCTGAGTTGAAATCGATCCCAGACATCCATCTCTTTCAAAAAGTTCTAAAGGCCGACAACTACAGGGTGCGTGCGCTGGGACTGATCGGGACGACCTCGTCGAACAAATATGAGTAGACTAGATCTAGTGTGGTGGTACCAAATACGAAGTTCTCCTTCTCATTGAAGACAAAGAGAATGGAATGAGTAGTATAGAAAAGGGGAAAATGAATCAGCATTCCCAAAACAAAAGTAAGATAGGGTTGGCAATTCCACTACTTCAAAAGGTTTGTGCCTTCCTCGGTAAGAGAATTCTCAAAAGCTATCCAAACAAGAAAAAGAAATACGGCACCGACATTTCCAATGGTAGTCAAGTTCACTGGAATAGGTTCTTTGAGCTATGATCCACCACTGTCGAATATATTTTTACAAGTGTATAAAGTCTAGAAGAGGGCAGGGGAACATACTCTCACGTTCTCCGAGTGGGTACTACACTGAGTAAAAAGGGTACTGGTCGACACGGGTAGCCCATTTCTTGCATAAAGAAGTTCTCGAACGAGACGATAAAATCTTGTCCCAGCTTCGAACTTCTCTCATAAGCTTTACCGGTTAAACCTTATAATCCTTTTGGAGTTGACGTAACTCCTTATACGCAAAAGATCGAGAGGGGCCCAAACCAAACCGAGAACGTAAACAGAATTCGACTCACTCTCGTATGGCTCGTCCTCGAGCCCTGGGCGAGTCGGCCGGGTCTTTCCCTCTTGTTCTGTCTGAATCTGGCGCTTTAGGGGCAGAATGTGTGATTGATTCCAGCGAGAATACATAATCTCTTTTTCCGCTGCATAGCCCGAACAACACCAATATTGGGACACCCATTATAGAGTATTGATACGTCAATCAAAACCGACTCCACAAACTTTGGTAACTCCAACTTCAACCTCGATTTTATTAATAACTACTTACGAGACCTTCTTTGGTACATATCCCTTATCTCAAGTTTTTGATCAAACCAATCCATTGACACAAATGGTTCATGGGCGAAAAGTGAGTTGTTTGGGTCCTGGAGGATTGACGGGGGTTTGATTTGACAGAAAGTTCGAAGAAGAATAGATAGAAGACAGACTTATCGACAATTGATTTATTTGACTTTTTTAAAAAATCTTCTATAGAAATTTTTTGTAATGAAGTGACCCTTAGGGGCTGTTCTTTTTCACCGGTTTAGACACGTTAGTCGTCAATGTAATTTCATATGAGAAGCCAAAAATTAAAAGGGGAATAACGATCTTATTAATTCCTAATAGTTACCATAAATATATGCTCGACTAAAATCCATACAAACTCGATGGTGGTGATAAGCATTTATAATTCCGTAGACTCGAAAGAATGTCCCGCTTGATTGCCACGCCCAATTGAGGGTCTGCCAGACAGAAAATGTGTTCCTTCATACTGCAATAAAAAACATTTGAATCCAGGATAGTAAGGGTTCCTAGGCAATCAAGGATAGAAAGGAATATTTTAAATATTTAGTCAAGATCACTTGCGACTTACTATATCCACTCGCCTGTTTCTTTTGAACTCGACTCAACACCTCTGTAAAATCTATAAATGCTGTACAATAATAGTCCAAGCGAACATTGTGCCTCTTCCTTCTGTAAAGGAAATAAAGTAGATCCTCAGGGAATAATCGTAGTTATAATATAAATTCTGGATCTTAATAGACTAATTTTAGATATAGATAAATTACCATTCCCTTGTCCATACAGTACTGAAACTCTGCAAGCATTTCCTGTACTCCAGAGAGAAGCTGACATCGCTTAAGATGTGCAATTCTATCTCTTCTCTGTGTAACCTGACCCTGTTGTATAGATAACCAGAGGTCAACAGTTATATGTTAAGCCTGGTAACACTTGTACTCCTTTCACAACAGATGCCAGGCACACAGATAATAGAGTAGAACATACTGAGGCCTGTCTCAAAATAAACAAATCTCAAAGATAATATAATACATCCTAATACAATAAATATAGATAGCTAGACTATGATATGTTACATCGTCGTCTAGGTTAGTTTATTTTGGGACGGAGATAATACACTACTTAGGCAAGTGATATTGAGAAGAAGGTAAACATTGGAATAAACGTACATGGACAACCCTTGCTGGCTTTAGAAGTACCGGCAGAAGAAGCCATCGACCAAATGCAAGAGTAACCTGCTGTACCCTAAGAACATGTTCTAATTCCGGCATTACCCTGTGCAAGAACAATCCAACAAACTCAGCTGGTGAATACTTATACTAGATAAGAGTTTTCTGTGTGTTTTTACCAATATATATTTGTCAGACATGAATAGTTTAACTTACTCTTTAAAATCCCGTAAAAACTTCTTAGTCTGAAATTTCAAAGTTGGTGAGAAAAAAGCGACCTGAATTTATTAAATGCAAATATATGTACACAAGGAAGGAAAATAACCTGATTAATCATGAGACATGCTAATTCTTCAGGAGATCCTGGTTCCATCTCATACCTGCACTTAATATGCATAGAATATAGCTGAATGATCAAACATACTCACATTTTCAATTGAGCACGATAGAGAGAACAATTGTTCGAGGATCACCCAAAATAGAGTAATTCGGAATAGCTAAATAACGTGTACATATCATAATTATTCTCCGGCAGATGGTATTGCAATTGAATGCCATCCTAATTAGTGATTAGATAGTGACATTATTTGGATCAAAATTTGACATATAGCTTCATGGACGTACGATACGAGATACGCTATAAAGGTCTATTCCTAACTGCCTTGTGTACATTATTAGAAAGTGGATTCAGCAACCATGACACTCAATGGTTCAAACAGGTTCTCAAATAACTCAAAACTGTAATGTCAAATAAGAATTCTACAAGATGAAACTGCAAATTGCTATGCACGATAAAGAAAGATTGATTTTGAATTGATTTTCGGCAAATATTGACATCAAGTCCATTTGGAAATTTTCTACTTTAAATATTGAGTTGAATCGATTTTGAAATTTAACTTCTATAAAGATAACCAATTCTAGAAATGGGACTCTATTGACTACAAAGTGACTACCAGGGACTCTATTGACCACCAGAAAACCTTTTCAAGTCTTATGTATTAATATGCCATTACACATAGGGACAGGGGCGGATCCAACGTGGGTGTAGGGGGGACTCCCTACACCCACAAGACCCATGGATACCCCCCGAGCACCTCCTTTAATTTTTTCACCATGAATGGTAATCTAAAGGTCCTTAGATGGCTGGAGGTTGAAGAAACTGTGTAATTGAGTCCCCCCCAATTTTTTTGATCCTGGATCCGCCCCTGCATAGGGATTTCTCATAACCCCTTAAGGGAACATTTTATTATTTTATTTTCAATCAGAAACTCAAATGTAAACCAGGTATTACCTTTCGCAGAGAGAAGACGATATGTTCCTGCATTTGCTTAATGTATCTTCAGGGAATTGGATATATTGTTTTCCTGTTACACCTTTGCTTTGATGGAGTGTATTGGTGAGATACCTTATAGAACTGACCTAAAGATCCATAATAGAAAAAACGTGTCATGCGTGCGGTCAGTGACACAACAGAAAGTACTAATTTCCAAATTCGAACAACTAGACAGATCATTATGTTCATCTTGATAGTGGATAAATATATGGAAACTTGGACGAGCTTGTTGTAGCAACACTTCCAAAATTTAGTGGTTACACATGAAAATTAAATGAACCGTTTGAGATAACTAGAGAATGATCTTTTTTTTTCTTTCAGTAAAAAGTGCATGACATTGACATTTTTCTTTCATGGTCTTCGAGGTGTGACTTAGACACAATTTATTTTTAGAAATTTAGAACTGTGATTGTGAAAATACTTTTGAAGACAAATCTACACAAATCAATCTTATGTTTTAAAACTAATTACTATTTTAAAAGGTTTCAAGGTTTGACCAGATCTTGTCCAAAAAACATCAAGTATTGGTTACCGGAGAGAGTAGTTGGATTCACAATCAGTTACTCCCTCCGTTTTTTAATACACGGCGCTATTGATTTTTGGACAAACGTTTGATCGTCATTTATCAAAAAAACGAAGGGAGTAACTGACTGCGAATCCAACCAACCACTCTCTCCGGTCACAAACACTTGATTTTTGGACAAGATCCAGTTAAACCTTTGAAAGTTTGAATATTTAAAAACAAAGGGAGTAATTTGCACTACCATTGTGCACAAAATAAATAAAAAAAATAGAATATAGATAGAGTATCTTACTGGTTTCTGAACATTCTCATCCCAACACCAAACCAGCAACTTTTTAGCACCATGAAGCCAGTTGTCAATGTCAGAACTTCCCATCAAGCTACTGTGGCGTAAAAGCCATAGGGTAAATGCAGAGAGGCCCAATGCTCCAAATGTGTAGGGTAACCAATATTTGGTCATTTTTCTCGGCTTTTTATGGCTTGAAAGCTATCATTGCATAAAATTACTTGCTTCAGAATTCAGATAAATAAGCAACACATTTCTTGGCATAATGAAATTATAAGCAACATATAGATATCTTCTAAGAACTGCACCGGAAGATCTACTTTTGTGAGATGAACAAGAGTACAAGACCCACATATAGTTTTCTAACATAAAAAATAAAATAAATAGGTGAATTATGTAAAAAGGATTGCTAGACTACTAAATCTGATATTGATGTACAAGATTTAACACTTTGTCAATTATCCACATGATTAATTAGTTGATTTTGATGCCTCAAGTGGGAGATTTTCCGTAATCACCCAAAAATGTTTTTGGTACTTTAGAATAATTAGCAGTAGCACTGATTTCTCATTTGAAACCATTCATGTATGGAACAGTTTTTGGTTTACTTGCATATGCCTAAAAATACTTTTTTGAGTTTCGACTAAAAGCACAAACTAGTAGCCAAAAAAACTTGGGTACAACATTGAATCCTTAGGGTGCGTTCATTTCTCCCCCTTACCAACTTTGGCTTTCTTATTTTCCGTACACACGCTTCTCAAACTGTTAAATAATATACTTTTTGCAACAAAAAAAACTATAGGAAAGTTGCTTGAAATAATCATATTAATCCAAATGAACACAGCCTTAATGTCCCAATTAAAATACAGGTAACAGTAATCTGGGAACTGCGAGGCTGACAAGTGAAAAAAAAATCACGTGTGAAAGTGTAGTAGGGGGGGAGTTGCAAACCCGAGAGGAAAGAAAAATATCTAACTTCTGAAGGTTTTCATAGATCAAACTTATAGCAGCTGAACTCTGAACATCAGCTTCTGGCAATCTTTGGAAGAGTTCGAATGAGTTATTATCATGATTCGCTAATACAGCCCCCTGCTGGAAAAGAAAAACCGAGACCATATTAGAAAACAACAAAGAAAGATTTACACCTAGAATCTCGAATTAAGTTAAAAAGAAAAAAACATTTCATACCTCACCAGCATTTCTAAGTTCTACCTCCAAATTGGAGAAGATGTTATTCAGAGCAACGAAGAGACTATGCAGCGATTGTTCTGATCTTCTAATTAATACACTTCTGCGTTTGTCAGTTTCATTGTAAACCTATGGAAAAAAGCAAAGGTAGAATTTAAGTTCATATATGCCATACCAACAGCTGGCTTTGAAGCTGACCATGCCTCAGTTTTTGGGAAGAGACCAGGACTTTGAAAAAAGCTTTTTAATATTGGTATTTTAGTAAACAAACCTCAGCAAGAAAAGAAGCCAAGCAGTGTTGCATCCTTGTTAGGATGGCAAGTTTTGTTGAGAACATAGAAGATGCAGAGTCCAAAAGGCCCTGGACTGGACTCCCTTTGTTCTGAAGTTTAGCCAGCGTTTGACATGTTGTTGCAACAAAGGCCCTTGGACCTCTTTGAAAGATCATAAAATACGCTTTCTGCGAATTTGTTCTCTGAAAAGAAAAGAGAAACAATTCCAAGTATAGGTAAATGGCAGATAGATAAATGCAAGAATCATATCTAAATACTGGGAGTCTAGGAAAAGAAAGGGTTTGCGGCGTAAAAATACCAGAGCATTGGACTGCCAGAACAGTATGCTTTCCTGGATACTGTGCATATTAGACAGGGTGTGTTGCAGAATATCTTCTAGTATGACGAAACTTTTGGGAATCTCAACCCTACGCCTGCAAATAACATAATAATTAAAAAGAAAAAAGAAAAGGCATCGATGCCACAGAAACAGATTAATTAATATATAAAGGCCCTAATCTCATCAAGGCCTGATCATCACATCAATGCCACATATAAACAGATAGATCGATCAATCAAATAAATTCGCTAACATATAATTTTCGGAGGGGGTTTCTCACTCGGCGTAGCTATCGGCGAGACTGCCGCCGGCGAGAGGGACATCGGGGCGCCGGTGGCCTCCGTAGAGGCGGCGCTGGAAGCCGGCGATGGCGGCGGAGGGGTCGCCGGCGCGGCGGGCGAAGAGGGAGGAGGTCCATGTGCGAGCAGGTCCAAGGCTCGCGTTGTGGGCCGGGCCGCCGGAGCTAGGAAGGCCCATAGAGGATAGAACCGAAGACTGTACAAGTACAACTAGATTGATCTTCCTGTAGTCAATTGTGTAATATAGGAGTATATACTTTCTCCGTCTGAAATAAATCAATCTAGGCTACGTTATGTCATATCATATGGTTAGATTCAATTTTGAAACGGATTGAGGTATGCACGTTCAGATTATATAGGTTGAAGCTCGGTACCGGTACCAGTTTCCGTGGCCACGTACAAGTACAACTCGGTCACAGATCGCAATCCAAACGGATCTCCTATACATATGTACTCCCATCCTTTTCTTGTCTTTTAAGAAAGAGGCTAACAAAGAGGCTGTGAGTTGTAACGGGAATAAAAGACAGAGAAAGTTGACAAAAGAGAGCCTTGTTCGGCAGGCAACCTAGCGAGACAGTGAGCAATGGAAGAGGAGTCTGTGACGTCCCCTCAAGCGAGACAAGAAACAGAAAGTGAAACTAACTCAGATATCAGATAAAAAGGGATAAAAATTGATAGATATTAGACAAAAAAAAAAGATACAAATTGATCGATACTAGTGCCAACAGATCAATTGCCATGTTAAAACCGAATCGATTAAAGAGAGATAAGAAAGAAGAACATATATAATATATTTCTGGAGCTCGTCCTCCCAAGCCATGTAAGACATGCTCCATCTATTGTGAGAGGGGATGGCATGGAGTAGATGGGACGACATGCTCCTCCTCTCATCTCTGATCCACTACGGAAGAGTGTGAATCCTCTCCTGGTCTCCTAGCGTTCAAAGTTTTTCAGTGAAAATTCAATCTAGAGAACACAAACAATCTTGAGCCGTGGAAGAAACAACCAAAACTCTGAAAAAGGAAATTCGAATAAGAAACTGTAAAAGAGATACTCTAAGTTGAATCGAAATCCGGTAGCTCACCACTCATCCCTAGCACGGTGAAGGAAGGCCCTGCTGCCGCTGCCCCTATCACTCGCTCTACCAAAAGGCATCGCTTGCTCGGAGTCATGCTAACGCGGGAACGAGCGGATTCGGCGAGGCTAGCCAGGGGGGTCAACGCGTCCCGTCACCGCCTTCCCTCATTTGCTTGGCACCCGATTTAGGACGTAGGAGAGGACAATGCAGATCTGGAAGCTTGAGGGTGTTGTCCTTCCCGCCGCCATCATCTTCCTCTCTTCACTGTCGTCGGCGCCGTCTTCCTTGCCGGATGCTGACTCCCTTCATAAAGCTTCAACGCACCAGATCCACCGATGACTAACAGACCCCAACCGCAGCATCACGCCGCCCTCTCCTTCCATCAGCCTTCCTTGCCATTGCCGGCGCCGCCTTCCTTCTCAGTTGCCGGCACCGCCTCCCTTCTCTGTTACCGCCACCGCCTTCTCCTCTCTCCTCCAACTGCTAGGCAGCGGAAAGATGCGGGGAATTTAACTATTTGCCACTTTTAGATTTTTCACTTATCCAAATACCCGTATGAGGTTTGTATTTAATAATTGAGAGAATATATTCTATGCCACTGAATTTGTTCGAGTTCAACAATTTGCCATCGACATTCTCTTTCTATAATATACCGGCGACTTTATCAATTGTTCTACAATACGCCATTAGGTTGGGCATTCTTTTCAAAAAAATACCTAAAATACCCTTATGGACATACAAGGTTAATAATTGATTTATCTAATTAGAAGTTCCAAAAAAAATATGAACATTTTTATGTGGCCTCGTTACACAACGTGAAAGTTTGTTTATATGTTTCAAGTTTTTTTTCTGGTATATTTATTGTTAGAAAAAAAAATTATGTAGTATACGAGAGAAAATTTGCTTATACGAGAGATAATAGCACAAAAATATCTTATGTAGTGTATGAAAGATGATTTATATTCAAAACATAAATAAAAAAGTGTTTTGTATAGCATATAACAGATAAGTTACATCTTTTTTTTAAAAATATAAATTAAAAAACTTGAAACTTTTATACGAACTTTCATGTTGTGTAAGGAGGCCACATCAAAGTTTTTATTTTTTTGAAAACTTCTAATGGGATAAATCAATTGTTAACTTTATATGTCCATAAGGGTATTTTGGGTATTCTTGAAAAGAATATCCAGCCCAATGGCGTATTGTAGAACATTGATAATGTCGCCTGTATATCGTAGAAAGAGACAATATCAATGGTAAATCGTTGAACTCGAACAAACTCAGTGGTATAGAATAAATTCTCTCTTAATAATTTATCATTGGAGAGAGGTGATTTCTTAACTATTTGCCTATTTTGCCTACGTGGTGAGCCATCATGGCATGCCCGCGTGGAAAGTGACGTGGACCCCACCTGTCAACCTCTTCGCTCTCCTTCTTCTCCACCTCCGGCCGCCGTATCTCCTCCACCTCGGCTCGCCTCACCGCGTACAGCTCCTCATGAGGGACGGAGTTTGGCAAGTCATTTGGCTATTGGAGTGAAATTTATTTTTTTGAATTGCCAAAATTTGGCTCGGAGAGTCTATTTAAGAGGCTCTTAAAAATGCTCTTATCCATACCACACTCACTTATATAAAGGAGATTAGCCAGGCTAGGGAAATACGAGTAATCAAACATGCCCTCCAAACAATAAAACTGGTAAGAGTCTCAGAGATGCTCTCTTACTTTTTTTCCCTACCTCTCTGAGTCTTTGGAGACCTCCCGGCTCCCACTATAGTTTTAATTTGTTGAGATAAAAGTACATCAGTCCTCCTTAATAGTATTGCGTGATGTTGAAACTAATATAAACCAATGTGAAAAAAAATATACAGAAGTTTCATAAGCCACACCACCTTCTCGGCCTCATCGTCGCCACCTTCCTCCTCCCTCTCCCTCTCAATCATCCCCCGGCACGGCGGATTGGGATCTGGCCCCTGAGCTCGGGATCTCCACGGTGGCGAAGCGGCAAGGAGCAGCGGCAGCCTCCCGCTTGCCACTCCCTCTCCTCTCATCTCTCATCTCCTGTGTGATTTCCGCCTCTCCTCCTATTTCTTGTGTGATTTATTTTGCGATTTCTGATTGGATTTATGATGATACCAATTGGACTAGGATTTAGTTTTTTTAGATTTATAATGATTGGGATTGGTTGTGGGATCTTCAGAGCGAATGCGCGTTAACACGGGCGAACGGCAGATGAAGTGGAGAGGAGGTGCGCATGATGCGGACGACGGACTAAGACGAACGAAAATCCTCAGAGAAGTCTTATGTATTTTTTAATTAGGTATAGATATAGATATGGTGTTGAAATAGTACATTATTAAAATAATTTTAACTATTTTATTTAGATCGACTCCAAACCAAGGTTATAAATACTTGTGACTAATATATGACCGGCGGAGGTTAACGGTTGTTTTTAACAAATGTTTGAATTAGAAAAAAAAACTAATTATATGCATGTTGCTGTCAATTTAAATCCAAACTAGATACTTCTGACACTATCGGTCATCAATGATTACATGCTAAAAAATTTGCCACGACAAAAGCGTAATTCTTCAAAAACCCAACATGATTAATGTATTTATACATCATAAATAGATAAAAAAAATCAAAATACAACCAACCGTGAAAAACATGTCTCCACTCTCAACTCCAACTCTTGTATTCACATGAAACAATGAGGACTCGTAATCTTTAATCTGTTTTAGTCTTTTTGCAGTTATTTTTTCCATGTTAACTAGGATCATTAATTTCATATTTTTCTTGTTTACCAAGGTTCTCTTTCTAAAATGACAAGATAACTTTTGTGGACAAAGAAAAAAGAACAAAATGAAACCATCTCTCCCGATCCCCTCTCTCACTTGAACTGACGGTTGTCACCAATGTTCATTCAGTTCACCATCTATATGTCATCTTACGGTTAAATTTCTACCGTTCGGGAGGAAACTAAAAGATGCCTCTCATCTATACCTACCATTATAACCCACTAAACTCCTAAAACTCAACATACATCAACCCACTAAGGTCAACATACATAATCCGTAATCACCTAAAACTCAACATGTAAGTATGCATATAGTAATTACATCTACAATTTATTTCATTCTAAAACTCAATATACACATGCTAAATCATCGTTCTCAAATCATTTTCACAATATTTCAATTCAAATCATTTTATCATTTCTATAATATTTAACATATATCCTGTAACAAAGCACGAGACATTATCTAGTTAATTAAAATTTTACTCCACAATTTAAGGTAGTAGCCATCAGTTCAAGTACTGAAGGATTGCAACCAGGTTTACCAAACCATTTTGAGCGGGGTTACAACCACCCCACGGTAAGATGGTTATCGTGGTAACCGTGCGGCCACCGCGAGGTTTACCGTGGTTTCAAAAACTGAGAAAATTACTGCACATGATAACCATGATAACCACAAGGTTACGTAAATCCTGATTGCAACTCATAACAGGAGCCTCCTCATCTTCCATGATGTTTAACATGCAGGCATGTGATGTCTCCTGTTTGAACTCATGGTAAAAGGACTGAAAAATGGAGACGTGAGTATACGGTTGCAACAAGTATGACAGCAAGATGCGCATATTTACATCGATTTCTTGCCCATCTTGACATCTTATTCACTTGATATGGGTTCCTCATTTCTTCCTAGATGATGAGGATGAAGAAGAAGCGGCAGCGATGATTCCACCAGCAACAAGTCCCACAAGTCCGAAGGCACCAGTGACAATAGCCATGCCAATCATACCGTCTGCATTTAAAAAGCAGTCAGTAATGCCCATCCTTCAATCGATCCGAGTTGCAAAAACCATTGTACTCCTACGAATTAGATTAGTACGGAAATATTTTACTAAAATTCATTGGAATTAGATTATTTCCTACACAGATCTTCTAGAATTTCTTTGTTCCGATCTCCAAAGGACACAAGAGGGTGCTGAGCTGCTCCGATACTTCTTTCTTTATAATGTGAAGTGCAGACATAACTAAGATACCCTTTGTTAATATCAACTTTCATGCGTGCCCTGCTGATAACTACAGTTCCCCTAACCAATATATTTGACAATTATACTAACAGTATGAAATGAAAATTGAGTGCAAATTCATTTTCCAGTCTGAAGAAGGCTTGGATGTTAAATAATATACCCTACCTCTTCTGGTTTTGTCCTCAACAAGCCTTTGTAAAGTGAGAGCTTGCCTCCAGTCAGGTTGAATCTGCAAAAGGTGATAAATGTGCATTCATTAACATCAAATTCAGGATAATCTCAAAAAAGTTAGAATCTAAACGTACAAAAATAAGATATCTCAGATGTCTATCTGATTAAAGAGACAAACACATTATGTTAAGCAAAAATTGGCACCAATCCAATCTAAACAGCGTAATTCTACAAAGCAGCCTGTTTCTCTTATAGCAGCTTCAAGTCTTGAGTGAACATGATGGCAGGTCATACACTTGTTCTACTTTGTCATTTTTAAACTAACAGATGCTTCGTTGATAAAAATGCAATATTATGATAATCAATTAAAATCAGTTAATTGTCTTGCAAGCTGAGGTTACCACCATGACCATTTACAACAGTATCTATAGATCTCATATCCATACAACAATAATGGTACCAGCGACCATGGGCTCATGGAAACAGCAAATAAAATGATTAGAAATATATTCAGTAATCAAACCTCTAAGCATCTTTCCAAAAGCTGCCGACTCCTTGTATAATCACCAGTTCTGTAGTGTCCAACAGCCAGTAAGTAGAGCTTCTCCCTTGTCTGCAGTGGACTGGTAGACCTGTCCAAAGAAGCTGCCAGGTGCCAAGAGAAAAACATGAGTCCCCCCCAACCACAAGTGAAAGCAGGAAGGTCAGATACAATATCTGATTGCCAACCGATCAAAAAAGTGTTAAAGAAAATTGAAAAATGGTTGACATACAAGAAAATGTGGACAATGGATTGGAATATCACTTTATAGGTGACACAATGTAATGAAGTGACATTTTGATTCAGCATTAGAGTGCCATATTAACGGCACTATTAATAAAGTTTGTTCAGAAGAGTGCATACAGGAAGTTTAATAGGAGCGTCAGAATGGGTAATCATGTGGGAGGACACTTATAACATATGTTAAAAGCTATTTGATTCGATTAAAAAGGGGTCCCCCTAGATAAATTGTTAGACAATGTGTGGCTCATCTGTTGAAACTTAAATATATAAGTCTGAAACAGCGTCAGAATTAAAATCATGATTTCCAGATAGATTTGTATTCCAGGTTAACAATATCTGACTTATATACTCCCTTTGGTCATGAAAACATCTTCATTTGGACATACATCGAGACTTTGAGCAGAAATGTCTTTTAAATATTTAGATTAGATACACAAAAATTATGTGTAGATTTGTCCCCAAAGTACTTTCATTATACCATAATAATATCGGCCCTACAGACACATTATAGATAATTCGTGGTCAAGCAAGTTGCATTCTGGAGAACTGATAAATGTTTTCATGACCAAAAATAATATATAAATAGTTCACATGGGGAGACACATATTATCATGGTCGTATAAATTTTCAGAAAGTGATGGGGTAAACATTCATATGTTAGAAACAGTAAACTACTACTCTATTCATTCAGCTTTTGAATTGATTAACAAATTCCAAATGCTAAAAAAAATTAAAGGATGTATGTGGCTTCATTACCTTGAAGCATTCCAATGCCGCGGTTCACATCCTCAGGCTGTCTGGAGTGAACAAGCGCCCACGAAAGCCTCATAAGGCTCTCATTCTTCTGTTCTTCATTCGCAGCCTCCGCAACCTCGTTCTCACAACCCTGGTCAACAAGACAAAAAGTGCACATGGCATGACATAGATTAGGACAGAGAACATGATACGCGAGGCAAGTGAATATAGGCATATAGCAGCTTGCAACTGAACATATAGTTCGTTTAGGCCTACGACCACGGTAGCTCGAGGGTAAAATGGGGGCTAATTTTGTGATTCAACCGCAGATGTCGACAATAGCACATGATATCAAAATGTTTGATCACCGAGCGACAATAGCTAAAACAAACGCAAACTCGGAGCAGATGGTAGCACAAACACAGCAATAGCTAGGGATTTAGCGGTCACCGAACACCTAAAACCTCCAATTCGCGAGAGCGCGTACATTCCACAGAAAATTCGCAGCCACAACGAAACATCCACTCACGAAGCGGGGGAAAAGAAATGGCCATACTAGAGCCAAACACGGATCAACCCGGAGGGCGGAGCCAAGGGTTCATGAGGAGGAGGGGGAGGAGGATGGGGTGGGGAAGCTTACAGCGATGATGTCGCGGTCGCACCAGGGGAGGGTGTCGCTGCCGCGGAAGATCGAGCCCACCGAATCGAATAACTTGCCTACGTGCGAATCCATGCCGCGAGAGCTTTTTTCTCTGCTTCTTTTTTTTTTCTTTTTCGGTTGGTTTTTTAGGGGGTCGCTTGATCCGTGGGACGCCGGGCGCCGTTTTGTAGGCGGTTTCTGAGCCTTGGTGGCTAAGGAAAAAGAGAGGCGCGCCGCGTAAACAAAGCGAAGCATCGATGCGTCTGGCATGTGGGGCCCGGTCTACAAGTGGCGCAATCCACGCACCCCGCCGATGACCTGACCCCCGAGGAGTACTCCCTGGTCCCTCCGTCCCATAAGACCATTCTATGTTTACGGTCACGTATGGATAGCATATAGCCATCCATATTTTATTGAATATGACGATTTATTTTTTTTATTTGGTTTGTATGGATATGGCGATCTAATTTCTTGTTTGGTTGGAGAGATATAGCATGGATGAAAACAACCAAAAGTTAGTGAGACCCATTTATCATATAATTTTTTTATCAAGATATAATCATCCGAGATCTTGTTTTAAAGATTTAATTGTAACAAATATAATGGTGTAATCAAATCATAAATTAGATAAAACGGTTTAGGAGAAAAAGTCATTTGGAGCTTGCTTAACAGAAAATCAAACCAACCACAGCCAATCAGAACATGACACATCACCCAGACCAAAACTGGATGGCTTCATCCAGCCAAATCGGCCGGATGCACTCATCCAGTATATTGAGGGAATATTCCCTATTTTGGGCTGCCCCATCCACCCTGACCTCCAACCAAACACCACAAAAAAATCGGGTGGCCATCTCCCATCCGAGTTCATCCACCCAACCAAACACACCTACAATGCGGTGTCTCACACCCGTGGTTTTAAGTTACACTTAGATTCAGATACCACGCTAAAGGTTTGGAGTGGTCTCACAGGGTGACAGAGGTTCATGCAGAGAAAACAGTGGTTGAATGGTGGTTCTAGGAGAGAGAGAAGACGATTTGTATGGTCCGGGAAGTTGTAGAGGAGAAAAAGGAGGAACTGGAGGCTACCGACGAGACAACGAGCTAGAGGTTGTCGTCGCCATAGCCAGCCCACACCTCGCTGTGGCCCACGCTGCCAGGGAGGGAGGAGAGGGAGCCCGGCGGCGGTAGCCAAGGAGGAAGCCAACTCGATTCGCATTGATGACAACAGCTCTGAACATATCGACGCCATCTCCGGGAAGATGCCGACGACAGCGGCAGCTCGGCTAGATCCGACGAGCATGATGCCAGATCTGTGGACCTGTTTGGCGCTCGAGCTCTGCTAGATCCAGCAAGCATGATGTCGGATCCACGCCAGAGAGCTCAAGCGCCGCCGATCCCGTCGCCCTCTGCCACATGGAGCTCGACGTCGGAGATCTCTTCACCACCATGAACTGGGCGGGCCACGCCTCGTCGACAATGTGACCGAAGAAGGGGAGGCGGCGGCGAGCTCGAGCGGGCAGAGAGGAGGGAGAAGGGGACGGAAAATTAAATTTAATTGCACTTTATTTCATTTATTATTATCAAAATTAAAAAACACGAATATTAAGGAATAACCTAATATGGTACTGGTAGAGTGGTAGCAGACCAAAAGATACAGAAAATTAAATGTAATTGCACTTTAAATCCATCTTTTATTATCAAAAATAAAAAAGGTGAATATTAGGGAAGAACCTAATATCAAATAAATAGAAGGGGTGAGGCTCCGAACCCATGTTGGCTAGCTCACAACCTTTCGGAGTTAACCGGAAGACGCTTAGGTGTTTCTCTTTATTATCAAAATTCACTTTGGACTACTCTCTAACTAGTAATATTTTTATTTTAGATTAGATAGATTACCTTTGTTGTACTTTGGATTACCCCAAATTACTTGTCTAGCCACATCTACTTTCTAATCTTGCAATGAATACTTATGTGTAAGTTGTGAAGACATGCCGGTTTATGGGTGTCGATGTGCTTAAAGTAATTGTAATTGATGTGCTTGAGAAAAGTTGTTTTAGGTGATCCAAAATAAAACAAAGTCAAAGTAACTTTGTTCAAAGTGAAAAGATAAGATGAAAGGTGATCCAAAGTGAAACTTTGATACTAAAATATAATCATAAACTTAATTTACTCAAATTAATTTAAGCCCTACCGAAAATTTCAATATTTAATCATATATTTGTCTCCTATAACTATATAATATATTTTGGCACTGATCTAAACATAGCACTCTATTCGTTCCAAAATATAAGAAACTTTAACTAGATATGACACATTCTAGTATGATGAGCAACAACGTAATGTCTCACAGAACCATTTTTGATGTGAGTGCTTTTGTGTTCTCCCTTTGTTTTGAAAGGGAATAATGCGAGATTGGTTTAATGGCCACACATGGTTGCAAGCGAACAATGCTAAACAAATTTGATAGTAGTTTGGTCCAACAATACCTTATTAATTTAAGAATCATATCGGAAGCGTCAATACCATCGCACATGTTTTCGGTTTACGGGTTTCTAATACAAATATAGTACTCATATGAACTACTTTCTTCTTATCTATAGCAATATATTCGTGACTTCAAAGTTATTTTGCTCACTTTTGACCAAGACGCCTCAAACTTCAAGGTTGCTAGACTCATGGCATAATTGAATTTTTTATTTCTAAAAAAAACATATATCCCTGCCGTTCCAACATAACTTTATTTTTAACATCTTATTTGTCCCAAAATATGTTGCAAACGTTGCTTAGACCATTTCAAATGATATTTTTCTTATAATTAAACAATATTAGGCATACGTCCAATAGAGTTAGGTATGAACAATATATGGAAACTTATCAATCATACGGTGACTATATATGAAAATTTATCAGAAGAAATGATCCTGGCTAGAAGCTATCCTATGGAACCAATGACGTGGTCTATCATTATAACATAGTGGGCCACTGGGCCATAGGAAAGCAAATGTCCAAACCAATCCTAACCATAACTCAATTCCATGCAGCATGCAACTATCATTATCCTTCTTTCCTGCCATCCTCCAAATTCCAATGGAGTAATCTAGAAATTGTGCTGCAATGTCTCTTTATTATTCACACACATGTTTATTTTTCTTAGAATATGACCACACACATATTTTCACAAAACCAAACCACATTTAAATAAGGCATTATTGATATTTATTTCTTGGTTTTCAAAAGAAAAATTAAAAACCGTTGACTGCCAGTGGAATTTGATTATTTTTCATTTTAAAAAGTAAAATTTAATATTTTAAAGTTAACCAATTTACCGAGCAATTAACCTTAGAATTTTGCAAGGCCAAAAGCGGAGAGGTTTAGCATCACATCACCAAGAGATTACGTATAATCTCCCAAAAAAGTTGTTTTTGGGTTTCCTAATCTGAAAATAGATAGCCAAAAAACTGATCCCGCCAAGATAAAGCCTAAATTTTATCCCTAAATTAGAAGTGGACTCTTCTGCTAAACTAATAAATTTTCACGTTTTCCTCCCTCTCACACGCTCTCCTGCCCCCCCCCCCCCCCAGAAAAAACACGCGGAATGACAGATTGGAGATGGCAAACGCGCTGTCCTTCTCCCTCAAATGAAGAGAGCGAAGGATGCGGGGAAGGGATTTCAAAAAAAAAAATCAGATATGAGACCGGTTGGAGCCTTTTTTTACCAAAATCCTAAAAAAATAAAGTGGACTCTAACAGTTTTTCCTGTTTTCCTCCCTCTAGCGTGCTCTCCTAGCACTCCCCCTGAGAAAAAAAAACACGCGGAATGAGAGATTGGGGACGGCAAACGCCCCGTCGCTCTCCCTCAAATGAAGAGAGCAAAGGATGCATGGAAGGGACTTAAAAAAAAATCAAATATAAGATCTGTTGGAGCTATTTTTTTCACCAAAATCCTTAAAAAAATAGGATTGTGGATAGAATAAGGAGACTATTGGTGATGCTTTTATAAATACCGATAACAAAATTTTATTTCACAGCTTGATATTCAGACAGTTAGAATTCGTAGCTTTTATAAAAACATATGCTTCTTCCGTTCTATAAAAATGATCTAATATATGATATACCATATTGCAATGTTACTAATTTAGATATCATATTAGTCTGTGTTTTATGGAATTGAGGGAGTCCTCCTATTTTGATAAATTAAACTTATCTTGGCTGTCTTCATACAAACTCACTTTTTTTTTCTTTTTACCCTTTCAGGCTTCCTAAAAAATTAAAGGAATGTGTTCTAGAAGGTCCGATACCAACAGAAGTCCATCTCCAAGAAGAAAGGAAACGAAAGCAGCAACAGTGCAGCACACGGCCGCCACCCTCTCCCCCCATCTCCGCCACCACCGCGCACGACAACCGGAGCCCCGCATTCCCCGGCGGCTCTCCGGAGAGAGAGAGAGAGAGAGAGAGAGAGAGCCTTCCACCACCATCGACGGAGCCAGCCGGCGTCATCCCCCACCGTGATCGAGATGGCGGCGGCGGCGACGGCGACGCTGCGGTCCGCGACTGCCGCGGCCGCGGCCGCCGCGGGGGCGCGCAAGGGTGGCGGGCTGCGGTGGCTGGGGACGGCGGCGTAGGCGGAGGCGGAGAGGGAGGGCGGGGCCGGGGCGAGGTGGGAGCTCTCGGCGGCGCGGGAGTACTACGACTACCGCAAGTCCGTCTACGGCGACGTCACCCACCGCGCCCTCCTCGTCGACGCCGTCGGCACCCTCGTCGTCCCCGCGCAGCCCACCGCTAAGGTCAGTTAGCTCCTGGCCCTCGTCTCCTCAGTGCGCACTGCGATGTGTGGGTCTCGGGGTCTGATCAATGGAGTTCAGCCGGAATTGTTGGGGTGCAGAGTTTGCAGTGCGATGTCGCTCCTGCGATGAATTGATCTCTGACCGTTTGAGCTTTGAACCGTGGTTTTTTTCCCCTTTTGTTTAGGTGTATAAGAGCATTGGTGAGAAGTATGGAGTGAAGTACTCCGAAGATGAGATCCTTGCGAGATACCGGCGTGCGTATGAGCAACCGTGGGGCGGATCACGGCTCAGGTGCGAATCTGTGGTATATACACGCGAAATTATTGACTGCCAAAGTGCCAATTCATTCATCTCATCATCTGATCTGATACTTGTGTAATTGCTGCTGTTTATGAACTGTAATCTGTTTAAATCTTATTCTGTTG